TTCACTATGTCATGAATGGGTGCTGGTCTTTGTAAAATATTTTTCTGCCTTTATTAATATGATTGTGTGGGTTATATCCTTGGCTCTGTTAATATAGTGCATTATATTTATTTATTTGCACATGCTGAACCATCCCTGCACCCCTGGGATGAGTCCTATTTTCTCATGGTGTATCATCTTCTTGATTACTTGTTGCCTTCTTTTTGCCAGTATCATATTGAGAGTATTTGTACCTAAGTTCATTAGTGATATTGGCCTATAGCTCTCTGTTTTGGTTGGGTCTTCTCTGATTTTAGTATCTGGGTAATGCTTGCATCCAGGAATGAATTTGGGAATATTACTTCACTTTCAATTGCATTAAAGAGTTTGAGAAGTAGCAGCATTGGTCGTCTCTAAACTTCTTGTAGAATCCAGTAGTGTATCTATCAGGGCCTGAGCTTGTTTTTTGGTAGGTTTTTAATTACACTTTTAATTTCATTAACTGATATTGGTTTATCATTTTTACATCTTTTTGATTTAGTATTGGTAATTCATATATATCTGGTAATCTGTCCATTTTTGCATTTTCCATTATTTTAGAATATAGGTTCTCAAAGTACGTATCGATGACCTTCTGGATTTCTGCAAGATCTGTGATCATTTCACCAATTTAATTCCTAATTGCCTGGATTTGAGTCTTTTCTTGCCCTTTATTTGATGACATTGGCTACAGATTTGTGCATTTCATTTACTCTTTTTTAGAACCAAGTCTTTGACTCATTCATTCTTTGTATTGTTTTCCTAGTATCCATTACATTAATTTCTGTTCTGATTTTTATAATTTTCTCCCTTGTACAAACTTTGGGTTTGAGTTATCTTTCTTTTCACTAGCAGCTAGAGGTTCAACATTGAGCTGCTTGTTTAATCTTGCTCTCTTCCTGATATGGGTCATTCATCACTATAAATTTCCCTCATAAAACTCCTTTCATTGTTTCCTATGAATTCTGGCATGTTGCATTATTATTTAATTGTACATACTATCTAATTTCTTTTTAAATTTTGTGTGTGGTCAATTGGTTGTGCGGTAGGGAATTATTTAATTTCCATGTGTTCATGAAGCTTTTATGGTTTATTTTGCCATTGACTTCCACTGTCATTGCACTATCAGATGATAATATTTAGGGATAAATTGACTTACTTTGCATTTACTTAAGCATGTTCTATGAGTTCATATGTGGTCTGTTTTGGAGAATATACTGTGTGCAGCTTACAAGAATGTGTATTCTGATTTTGTGAGGTGGAACATTCTAGATATCTACTCAGTCCATTTGTTCAAAAGTTTGATTCAGTTCTAATATTTTACTGTTGATTTTTTCTCTAGTTCATCTGTCTATTTGCGATAGTTGGGGAGGGGTTCAGATTCCCCCATTACAGTTGTCTTAGTGCTCATTTTATTTTCAGGTCTATTAATATCTGTTTTATATAGTTGGGTACATTGGTATTTGGCACTTATATATTTATGATTGCTATCTCTTCCTCTTGGATTGTTCACACTACAAAAGTGTAGTGAACTTTTTGTCTCTTTTAATCATTCTTGGCTTCAAATCTATCTTGTATGCAAATAAAATTCTACCTCTACTTTTGTCCAAGTTCATGTCCCATGAATCATATTGTGGGAAATAGCCTCCCATGACTTGAGGGTTCACATGTGACATGTTCAGGTACACAAAGGATAACTTGTGGTCTCTCCCTGAAGCTCCTGCAGGTCAGGGGAGATTCTGATTGTGAGGTTTGAATCACATACCCACCTGTGGTCCGGTAGCTGTTGGGAGGGTAGTCAGGCCATGCGTGACCAGTACAGCTGCCAAAGTATTGCTTCTGCCATCTTATGGATTTGGGCCCCAAGACAGCCACCTCAGGAAGACCCTACCTCTTCTGCGATAGCTGCGTATCCTTCCAGGAGTGCTGATTACATTGAGAAATACATGGCCAAAGTATCAGGAGAAACTCATAATAACTTTCGAAGCTGAGTTCCAAGGACTTGGGAAGGCATGGGATGGACATATTAATGGTGTGGAGAGCGGTGAATGTACCTCTGTACCCTGGGGTTGCGACCCTCGGTATAGCAACTTTGGGGGTGGTCCACATGTCATCGAGTATCTCACAATGGGATCTATGTATGGATGCAGATTGCCGTGTTTAGGAATGTACCATGCTCTAAAGTTGTTAGGAATGTTTCTGTATTCCTTCAATGAAGGTTTAGGTTCTAATATGCTGGGGACTTCACTGGCTGTGAGGAAACAGTGACCACCTTACCTTAAGCTCCTGTAAAATAT